CTCACTCACCCACACGCACACAGTTGCCTACGGTAAAGGCGCAGACCAGAACAAGAACCGACCTCTCATACAAAGTACAGATAGCGTAGCGGAAGACTTAGATACCAATGATCCGAACGGTCGATATTGCAACGCAGCCCCAACATCATTATCGTCACATGGTGTGAAGGGGCCTGGCGCTTACTCAAGAAGAATGCGCCTGTCCCCATCATGCGCAGACGAAGAGGAGGGGGGTCAGACGAAGGAGACGAAAAGTTGGGAATGTCGTCAACATCAAGTCTGTGATACAGGTCCCAGATAATCCCCGTCCAATGTCTGAATCCCAATGTCGAGTCCGGATCCAATGTCGTCAAGTCTTCAATCCACAACTCTTTCTCTCTCTCTCGTAGTCCACAGATACTGAGAAGTTAAACAGAGAGAGGGTGAAGAAGAGATGGTGGACTTAGAAGAGGAAGAAGAAGAGCTATCTTTCTCTTTCTCTCTCTCTCACACACACACACACAGTACACACACTCACACACACACATAAAGTACCGTATATTTTCCATGTTGGAGCAGAAGATTCGATCATCCTTTTCGATAGGGCTACGTGCGGAGAGCTGTGGCCATACGTATGTGTTGAAGTGAATCTTTCGTCGTTGTGACGGGAGATACGATCGATCTTGATCATCTTTTTTGATGGAAGCCGCGCAAACCCAGCCGCGACCTTGAAGACTTCCTACCAGATACGTTGCCCATGATCGTAATCCTCTCTCTCTCTCTCTCTCCTTCTCTCATACTCTTACACACACACACTCGTAGTTGCATATCCCAAAGTAGTGGAAGATTCGCTCGATTTCGCTCATCTTTTCGATGGGAGTTGCGCTTGACCAGCCGTGCGATCGGTTATGCACACCTCCTCACATACTCACACACACACATTCGTACACATATGTGTAGAGTAGGGACGTATATTTCCATGTTCTACAGATAGATTCATTCAATTTTTATTTTTATTCATTTATTCATTTATTTATCTATTTATTTATTTTGCTTATCTTATGAGGTCGACGTGAGGTTAGAGACTTACTTGTTTTTCTCTTCTCGTTTCCCCGATTGTTGTCGTCGTCGTTTGTCGTCGTCGCAAATCGCTTGATCAGGTAGGTGCTCTTTCTTCCTCCCCTCTCATTCTCCTTCGTCTTCTTCTACCCTTTCTCCTTCCTCTAACTGATTAGATCCAATGAAACTTCCACAGCATCCTCAGCGACAAACCGCCGAGATCACCACGATCCAAATACTCCATCGAACCATTCAATCGGTAGGATCATTTGGAGGCGTATAAACAGGGCAGGGACGCAATCAGCGTGAGCTGATGATTCGTGCGTACTAGGCATTCCTCGTTCTAGATTGATAGTTGCTACCCCCGTCACGATGAATCCTTTTCTTTGTCTCCCTCTTCTTCTTCTCTCTCTTCTCCTTCTCTTTTCCTCACGGATCTCCCGCTCTCCGGCTTACTCGCGATGTCTCCTTCTTTCACTGCACACATCTCAGCTTCGCTGCTGAAACCAGGCACGTTGGTGTGAACCCGCGTGCAAACAGGTCGAGAAGTAGGTACATCCACTCTCTCTCTCTCTCTTCTCCTCCTCCTTCTTCTCTTCGCATGCTTCTCCCCCTTCGCGCGCGCTTATCTTGCCAGTTCTAGTTAGCTCTACGCAACTCTTCCCCCGTCATCCCCCAAGTGTCCTTCTCCGCTCCCTGCTGTAGTTTCGGGAGTGCTCACCCTGCAGTGCCACGACCTAAGTCTGTTTTTACCGTCCCACCCGAAGTCTAATGTGAGGGGATCGACAACCTCGGTCTCAACCCACCACAGTCGGTTGATCAGGCCTGATCTGTGGCCCACCATGTTGTTATTTTAATGGTGGTAACTGTATTGGTTACGCAACACAGGACAATTACCTCCTATCAAATATCTAGACCTGACTCTCGATTCCCCCGATATCTACCTGAACCGATACTATCGTTAGGGAGTCCCTCCCCTCAAGTTTAGTCCTAGGCCGTAATTGGAAGGCCCGCTGCCTGCTTACGCTAGGTCAGCAGCCCACGCTAGGAGTTACGTCCCGACGATGCCAATTTTCCACCATAGGCTTGGTAGTTTTAAGTCCCTCAGACTGACCTCCATAAGTGGATGAGCGATGATCATTTCAAAAATACACATATGAAATTCAATTTGACAAAAAAAAAATTTATCCCCTCGTTAGTTGTCTTTGAATGGGTGAACAAACCCATTAAATGTATATATGAAAGAAACAATATCAATAAGAATGATTCAACATGATTGTAAAACTTGTCTCTGATCGAGGGGCATCGTCAGAGCCACTTAGGGGCCGTGCCTACCAGACCTCGATCACAGGCTGGATAGGCACACGTCTCGGGCATCTTTTTCCAATAGAAAAGTCAACCAAAATATCCATAATGAAAGTATAAAAGTATGTGTTTGACCCCTGTCTTGTCAGAAAGCAGAAAAACATCCATTCCATTCATAACATACATTTCCTTGATTCACACGGTTTCCTCAAAAATAACTTTTGACTTTTTCATACCCCCTTTCAGGGTTCTTTTAAAAAATAACCAAATAAACAAGGCATAAAGATGACTCATCAAGAGTGCCAACAACTTTTAAACTTTGCAAATCTCATTTCAGTCACTCTTATCACTCTTGAACACTTGGCGTTTTTCTGAGCATCCTAGATCAAGATTTGACAGCATAGATTGTACACATATCCAAAGTACACAAAAAACAAACACTTGACCAACTCAATTGTGAAAGTGCAAAGTGTTCAAGTTCCCCATAGGGATACCTTGTAAATAACTTAGGATAGAGAAACTCAACTGAAAAAGTATATGCCCAAAACTGATCCAGACTGATGCACAGAAGCTCAAGACAGAAAATGAATCATATGTTTGATCTACCCTCAACTACTAGAGTACAAATGCCGAGTCAAAATAATATACATGATCCCCTAATCCTAGCCATTGTGAGAGTACATGTCCTGTAATGAACTGACAAAAGCACTCCATCTAATGCTCGTAAGAAGGGAAAATACCAAACTCACCATACTGCCTCTTTCACCCTCAATCTCTAATATACAATGCCTTTCTTAAAGGGATTTCAAAATTGTTTTATTCTAATCCTCTAAGGTGAGTCTCAGCTGCTCGTACAATTGGACCCTGAATCCCTCCTTGGTTATCTTAATCATATTTCCTCTCCTATCGATGAGTCTGTTATTCTCATCCAGGCTAACCAACCCTTTTTCCCTGTCTGTCTTAAACCCAAGACAATCATCTCTCTTGTGGATTCCCTTCATGCAATATCAACATAACTTTTTCTCCTCTTCCATTGATCTCTTTGCAGATGATGGGATATCCTGAAGTCACAAAAGTAGGCCGGAGCGAGGCGTCGGCAGAAGACAGCGATCGGAGAGCGATTGCCCTCGCTTCTTTCCGCCTTAATCTCTCCTCCTCGGTCGCACGTCGCCCTCACTATCGCGTTCTTGCGCCCGTCGCGACGTCTCTGGCGCCTGTAAGAGCCCTTCCTCCTTCCATGCGCTCATACTCCCGCTTCTTCCCTCTACATCCCCTTCTCCTTTCTCCCCCACACGAGCTCACCCGAGCTCCAGCCTAGCCAGCGTGTGGACGGGTGTTAGCCCAAGTGCGCAGTTGTGCGTTAGCCCCCGGTGCGCAGACGAGACGCCACTCTAAGGCGCCGGCGTGCGTCCAGAGTCCTTTCCCCCGTAGGCCGCCCGAAGTGAGCCAAGTCGCTTCGAACGCAAAAAAAGAGAACTCTCCCCCGTGCGAATCGAACACCTTGTGCGCGTTCCCTTTTCCTCCCGTCGCACTTCCTTAAGTACTCCTTTTCTCTTCCCTGCAACGATCCTTCCTTCCTTCCTCGCTTCCAATCCAAACCCTCTTTCCCTTCCTTACCTCCACCCCTCTTCTCCCCTCGTTCTCGCGCCAACCGCTTGGCCAAATTTTCGATTCCCCAAACATGTTTCGTAAAATCTCCCGCTTCTTCTCTGAAGGCACTTCCCCCGTTTCTCTAGATCGCACCCCCCTCTTTCGCGATTCAGCGAAGCTCTCTCTACTTCAATAGAATTGGCGCTTACCGCTTTGCCAAATTTTCGCTTTTCCAAACATTTTTCGTCAAATCTCTTGCTTTTTCTCCGAAGGCACTTCCCCGTCTCTCAAGATCGCATCCCCCCCCTTAGCGATCCAGCGCAACTCTCTCTACTTCCAATAGGATTCCCCTTTTCTCTTGCCGTCGGATCAACCTCATAGTATTCGCCCCTCTTCTCATAGTCGAATCGATCACCAGTATGTGTCGGACCCCCGACCTCGATGATTCGTCCGCAGACCGTCCGTGTTACTGTCAGTTCCCGCCCAGGCAAACAGTTGAATGTTGTTTCTCCTCCATCTTGCTTTCTCTGCGCCTGTTTCCAACGACGGCTCTAGCCGCGCTCTTGGTACAGGTATCTTCTGCTGCAGGACATGACCCTTCCTGCCTTCCCTCACAGCCTCACCGACTCCTCCCCTTCCGCGGAAATCCGTAGAACGCCCCTTGCTTCCTTCTATCTCCTTCCACGGGACCCACTCAGGACCCCTTCGATCCTCCGCTCCTTTTCTACCAATCCCCAATGTCGCTTCCCTTCTCCCCCGGATCAGAAGACGCGCCCCCACTCTCTCCTCCACCAGGCAACCGGCTGGTTGACGTTCCTCCTTCCCCACTTTGCCTGCCCGTCTCCTCGACGCTTGTTTCTAGCCGCGGCTCTGGCAGTTACCAGCAGCGGTTATCCGCTCCGATCACGCCTCGCCCCCCTTCGTCCCCCTCCCCTCTCGATCCTCCTTGCCTTTCCCTCGCCAGTCCACCTGTCCCTCTTTCGGACCCCGCTCCCTACCTGCGTTTGGTCGACGCGTAGAGTCACCTCCTACCTCTCACACACGCCAATAGGGGGTCCCTAACTCACCTCTGATTCTCAGTCGAGCACCCTGGTGGAGTCGGTGGCTCGAGGATCCCGTCGGTGCCTCCTCGAGTCGTCCTGCCTCCTCCCCTGGCCGTTAGAGCCGTCCCAGATCACCATTTTCTCTGTTCACAGCGCCCCTCATGCGGAGACCCTGATCCGTTGGCCGCTGACTCCCAGTAGACCGACCGACCCCTTTGTACAGCCGACACGCCTAGGTGCCTCCCGTGGTCAGTGCCTCTTATCCCGTACAATTTTTGGCGGTCGCTGTATCAGAATTGCGTCATAGTATTGCCTGGCGATGGCCGTGTCACCCCTCCCGATCTCTTGGTACTGCCGTGCAAGCGAATTCTGCCACGGGCACCCGTAGCAGTCCGGTGGTCATTCGCGACCGAGGTCTAGTGTCTTCACCGGTCTTCCGTTTTAAGCCCAACCAAGGCCCTTTCCAACGCGCGCTTGCACACACCGCTTTTGACACAAAAACTTCGATCTTCTAGGATCCGCCCGAGCCCGCTCGCGACCAGGGTTCGTACCATCACTCCATCCAATCGAAGGGTTAGTATGAGGGCACGGAGGCCTCAAAACACTATACCCACATGCACGCATACGTCAAAACCACGCAAATTCAGCAAAAATAAAGGAAAAAATGTTTTTCATTTCAAAGAGAAAAACCTTCGGCTGGTAGGCAGCCGCCCGACACTGTGTCCCCTTTCAACAGGTGCATTTGCCTGAGCATGTGCTCTGGTCGTGTACTTGGCAATAACTCCTAGGTCGTCCACCAATTTTTTCACTTCCCCACACGTAAACTCAGACCCCCCATCCATTGTAAAGTCCACAACGAAAGGATACCGGAGGTAATACTCTTTAATGCACTCTGCCAAGACTGCTCCTGTCCTGGTTCGTATGGCCTTTCCATCAACAAATCCTGTAAGATTATCTGGGGCATCAAAGATATAATTGTAACCCTCAAATCCCAATGGCATTGCCAGGCATTGCCAGGAGATCTAGGTGGATTACTGCCCCTACATCCTTGATATACCTTGGATGTAAGGGTTCCTTGCATCTGATTGGAGATCTGATTTGACAAGGGACACACGACTCGCAGTACTTTCGGATCATTCCATACATACCCTCCCAAAAGTATAGCTCGGTCACCTTCTTGATGGTTGTGGCGAAACTCCTGTGACCTCCCACGTGTCCGTCATAAAGTGTTGCTATTACATCGATCTGTCGATTCCTTCCACAAATGACCCTCCTAGGAGGTCCTCTTTTATCCCTGATGAAGAGATGGTCTCCCCTTACTATGTAATGATCTCTCATGCGAAGAGTTTTCTTGCTAACTTCCCTCTCTCGTTTATCTCCGGAGAGAAGAAGTTTCATTTCTAGGTGTAACCCATCATATTCTTATTCCCGAAAATCTTCTGAGATTTCCCCTTGTTCAAACTCCTCTCCTTTCAACTCCTCATCAAATTCAAAGTCATCCCCCAACACTATCTCGTCTGCCTTTACTATCTCTTCTTTATTAACAGCCTGAACTTGCAGGAGTGAGTTGACAAGATAGTGTATTCTCCCCATTGTCAGCAGGTGCTGATCTTCCTGCTTCGTTCCTGCCTCAATTGTCGCTGGATCGTCATTCAATCTGTAGGTTTCTGCCAGAGCCAACTCCTCCATCCATTCTCCATTCGTTTCTCCCATGGGTCCTCTTCAATGAAAGGCTTTAACACCAACCCATCGATCTTTACAAAAGTTGCTGGAGCGTACCTCATGGACTTCCCTCTCCTTGCATCCCTATCATTAACACTCAGTCTCCATGAATTCACATGGAGATGCATATTATCTTCATCTAGGAATCCATCTACTGGTGGAGTCTCTTCCCTGGCATCTCCAGGCTTCTCCCACTCTATCCTGCTCAACCCATCAGCCCTGTTCTTGTTCCCTGGGATATGTTCCAATTGAAAATCGAACATCCAGATGTACGTGAGCCATCTGGCGATAGTAGGATCCGTGGGTGCGAAATTCTTGAGGGAATATACAAGGGTTGTTGGATCTATCCTTAGGACAAACCTTCTCCCATAGAGATAGTGCCTAAAGATACGCAGGCAGTGTAGCACGACCAAGACGTCCTTTTTGAATTGGGAGTAGTTCCGCTCAGTAGTATTGAGGTTTCGACTCTCAAAACGCAAAGGTCTTTCTTTCCCTTCCAAATCTGCGTATATTAGGACTCCTCCCAGAGCGGTGGGCCCAACATCAGTTTCTATGATAAAGGGTCGCTCAGTAACAGCCCCATAATGAAGGACCCCTAACACAAGACCTCCTCCTTTAAATTCTTCCTTCAAACTTTTCACCACTTGTTCCTGCTTTTCTCCCCATTCCCATTCCTGATTCTTTCTAACCAGTTTCCTCACATGTTCAGTCTTAGCAGTGAACCTTTCGATGAAGATTCTCCAAAACCCGCACGTTCCAAGAAAACATCTCACTTTGCCGACATTCCTGAACGGTGTAGGCCATTCAAGGATCTTATTTGTTTTCCTGGTGTCTGGACGACGACCTTGCTTGTTGCATACAAAGCCCAATATAGTAGCCTCACTCATGCAATGCCTGGACTTAGCTCCGCTAGCCGTAAGATTATACTCCTATAACAAATCGAGTATCTTCCTGAGATCATTGACATGATCTCAGACAAACTTCCTTATGCCAGGCGCAACCTCTTGCTCATCTTTCACCATTGGGCCTTTCACAGCTAGATCATCGATGTACGACTCAGTAATCTGCGGACTAATTGGTTGCATGACACTCACCATACTCCTTTGCACCATGGCTACCGCATTCGTCCATCCTTGGGATGCCACGTTCATGTGAATCAATCCCCTTGGAGTATGCATTGCTGTTATCGGCCTATCTGCCGGATATACTCGGAACTGGTCATAACCGGAGTACAGATCTATGAGCGAGATAATGGACCTTCCAGCAGGGACTGTGTGAATTCGGATCATTCCTATCCAGTCCACATCCAACCTTCCCCTCTGCTCATCGTTGAAAGCATAGGCGCTGTGTTTTTCCTTCATTAAGTCAACTACTAACGCCCTCTCTTGCTTGGTTAAGAACTCAGTTTCACCAATGATCAAGTTTTTCTCAGTCTCCTCGTTGATACGACAGGATTCAGCTTCCCATTTCTCTCTCGTTTGCCTAATCAATTCTCGTTCCTGCTCATAGTACACTCCCTCTTCATGTGTTACTAGGACCGGGACAGGGTGGGTTTTTCTGTCTACCGTCTTGTACCTCCTCTTTCCCCCTTGCTTGAGCCCACCCCTAAAAAAATGCTGACCGCATGCTTGGGCATATGGCCCCTGCACTTTGTCCTCTCTAGGTTGTGGCCTGTACACCAATTCCATCCTTCCTCCTTCAGGGAAATCATACAATTTGTCAGCCAAAGCCCGAATGGCCTCCGGTTCGCCATACGCGGACACCATGTACATTGCTTGGTCGATGTTGGTCAGACTCAAGGCTAAACCTCCACTTTCTTCTTCTTCCTTTTCCTCATCAGACCCCCCCATTCTAATTCTTTCCTCCTATTTTCAGATTCCTCAAAGGTATATGACCCAACATTGAGTCGGTTCTTCAAGCTATGAGGACCTAAATTTTTACAGGTGATGACCTCGAAGTTACCACACGCAGGATCACATAGAATTACGTACATGGTCCCATCATCCTTGTTCATGATAAGGGACTCCGATCGTGACAAGAAGGACCTTCCTAGTAATATAGGAAGATCCAAGGTAGGCATGATGTAAAAACAGGATCGTACCCTGACGCTTCCTATTTCCACAACCACATTTGAGGCAATCCCTATGTAACCTGACTTTCCACTAGCCCCATTGAGGTACCCTGAGTTCCTCCTGTCGATTTCCAACCCTAGTTTCTCAGCTGTTTCAACATTCATGATGTTCATTTCTGCTCCTGTGTCCACCATCCCGGGGCATCCTTTCCCTCTGATATTGACGTCTATGGATCCCGTCCCTACAGACTTCCAATCCATTTTACTCCCGGCTACCGTCCAATTGGCCTCCTTAGGAATCAAGTCTCCCATCCTCACTGTTGCTACCCTCTTTCTTGCCAATTTCGCTTTTACTAGCTCCCTGAGCTTGGGCGCAGTCGCCAAAATTCTTTCAAGTTCAACAATTCATTATGTCCCTCAATAAGCTTATTGACCAGGTTCTCGAGATCAACCCCTTCTTCAATCGATGTCTGGTACTTCCATTTTTTCTTTGATTTCTCCCTAACTGTTTCCTTTCCTCCTTTAGCATCAATCTTTCGTTTCTTAGCCTTCAACTCAGCTTGTTTGTCTTCTTCCTCCTTAGGTAACTCATCCTGTTCCTCTTCTTCCTCTTCCTCTATCTCAATAGAGGCTCCCTCTTGAGGTGGTACCGGAGCTTGTGCTGTTTCCTTTGGCGCATTTCCTCCTTTAGGTCTCCGCGAGGTATCAGGAACAAAGTTCCTTAGTGCCTGATAAGCGGCTTCTGGCCCAGCAGCCAGCGTGACCCTCAAAGCTCTAGGGTTAGGAGCCCTTGGTCCATCATCTTCTTTCCACTGACCCATCGTGAATACATGCGGCATTTTCATTTCTAGGTTCCTCACCTCCTCGCAGATATCAGACATCTTTACATTTAATTTGTCCATCTTATCTATCATGTCTTCCACCCTTCCCAGGGTTTCCCTTGCCGACTCTCTGACTACATTATCTTCATCTGACTGGAGGTCAACCAGTGGCGTATTCTCTCCTTCCTCACTAATCTTCACTCCTTTCTTTAGTTGGTCACTTAGTTCGTCAACTTTTTCTACCCAAACAAAAGGATCCTCTTTCTCCTGCCATATACGAAACATGGCAAGGGCGCTTGGTCCAAGTCTTGCAACTTTAATGGCTTTTTTTCTCGTTCCCCCAGGGATGTTTGGGTCGATCTTGTCTCCTCTCTTATCGAATACATCCCCGTCGATACTTGATGTGATCAAGCCGTCATGTTCATCCATCCTCCTAACATGACACCTTCTTACGGTATGTCCTTTTATCGTACAGTGCGTACATACGCACTCGCTATAGTCTATCCATCCTCTTCCGGCCCCTTGACCATTCCATTGCCCATCACTCCTTCCAAACCCTCTACCGTAATTCTGGTTATAGCCTTGACCGTACCTTTGGCCATAACCTTGACCAAAACCTTGGTTGTAACCTTGTCCAATTTGATTAAAATTCGACTGATTGTAGTTTTCAGTGTGATTACCTCCTTGATTTCCCCAATTTCCACCTTATCCACCATTTCCTCTTCCTCCGAATCCTCTCCCTCCATTGCCATTTCCTCTACCTCCATTTCTGCCCTTACCATGCCCTTGACCGTGCCTTTGTCCCTGAAATTGCCCTTGGTTACCTTGCAGCGGTGGGGCCTGTTGTGGCATTCCTCCACTTGCTCCTTGCCCTTGGGATGGTCCCGCCCCGTCTCCTTGAACCTGGGGCAAGTTTCGGTTCATCCCAATTTGACCAAAACCCGGCCATTGATTCCCGGGGTAATATCCCGGCCATGCCCCCATAGGAGCCACCACTGGCCATGGTCCAAATGGAGAAACCGGGGCTGATGCTCCTGCGACATTCGTTACCCCAGTCTGTTGTGAACTCTGTCCCTTTCCTGTCCCCTGTTTCTTTGGTGCCTGGTTTTGGTTTTGCTTTTGGGCCTTCTTAGCTTGTGTTACCACTTCAGTTTTTGCTTCCCCCTTACTTCCATCACTCTCCTCCTCATGTCTCCTCTTATTCGTCACTTGTTCAACTGCCATTACTTTTCCCGACTCCACCTTGTCCTTCAATTCTTTTAGTTGAGTGACCATACTACTCAACACCCCTCCTAAGGCTGAGTCAGCTCCTTCCTTTTCCTCTCCATCTTCACTTGATGGTGGAATACCTGGTCTAGATCCCCGGACGCCAAATTTTTCTTTATCGTCTCCCAGGAAGTCTTTTTCCCCGGAGCCCCTCCCCGGGTCAGCTCCATAGTCTCATATCCTGAGAACTTTCCCAAAAAGATGACACACTGCATCTCTTCAGAAAGCCCTGACACTCGTTTCGCCATTTTCTCGAAGGCCGTTGCGAACGCCCCTATTGTGGTGAAGTCATTTCGGTTGACATTATAAAGTTGGTCGATCGTCAACAATCCATCTCCAAGCTTATATTTCCTTTGCATCTCCATTTTGAAATTATTCCAGTTCCCTTGGGCATCGACCACAATCTGTTCAACGTTGGGGCGATATTCCCACCACACATATTCGAATAACTGGGCGAATTTTTTTGTCGGCGTCAGTCGATTGAAGACTTGCTTTAGCAACTCAAGCTAGTGCGATACTCTTTCCCCTTGGAATGGAAAAATCTCTATCCGGGGTAGCTGAGACCGTCTGACATTTCTACTGTCCAGTAATCGTGCGATCTCGGCCACCGTTATGGGCTCTGCCCCATTTGCGTCTCCCATTTTCCCCGCTTGTTTTTAGCAAATTTGTGTTACACAGACAAAACGATGGTTGTTCAAATTAAATTTTTGCCCACCTCACTCTTTTTTTCCCTTTTAAATTTTTTCCCTTTTTATCCCATATACCATTCAAGACTCTCTGCATCTACATTTCTAGTTCATGATCCCTATCCTTCCTCATCAATCGGTACTTCCTAACTTTCATAACCAGCGTCCCTATCTTGCTTCTAAGTACCCAAGTCCAACTTCTTTTGTCATCTTCAGACCTAAAATTGATTCAGGTCACCTTCCTTACCATCCCATTCGTCCAACCTCTTCAGCGGACACCCAGTCGCCTGTCCAAGAATTATATACCATTCCGAACATTACGGGGATACTATTAGCATATGCCCTGATTTTTACTTCGGCCTTGAGCTTTTTCCAATACGTTTGCCTTGGTTCCATGAAATGAACGCGGACATAAGCGTTAACTATTGATAGGATTTCCTCGAAATCCCCACTAACCAATTTTGGCCCTATCTCCAGATATAGGCAGTAGAGGGCCTCTGGTGTGAAAAATTTGCACCCTCCCTGGGGCGCCGCTCGAGCTGCTAAGGCCGCTTGCTCTACATTTACGTGTCCCTGGAAGACTTCATCTGAAAGAGTGGCTATTATATAATTGGTGGGGTAAACAAATTACGATGCCCACCTTGCTTCTATCATTGAAATCACTGGCCTGAACTCCCCCCAACTTGTTTCTCGGACTTTCTCTTCAAGAATTGTCCCAGTGATTAGAATGTATCGTGATAAGGGCTGACTGTGCCCTATCGCCAGATTTACTCCATGCATCCTCCACAGATGCGATGAAAGATACAATGTTGCTCGTACTATTATACTTTCTCGATCGAGGGTGCGTCCCATTTCAACCCATACAAATGCTTCCTGCCTGATTGAGGTGCCCCACCATGCGGTGATCTCCTCCTCTCTTTCGCTTTGGCCTCTAGGCAGGGACATTCTCAACCCTTGTGGCGTACGAACGGGGAGTTCAACGCCAAATTCCTGAATGGCATACGACATTTTTGGGATGATCGTTGGTGACCTGAGCGATACAAAAATGAGAGACAAAAGGCACACAGTATTTATATGCAAGTCCTATTTGGAATTGACATATCCTCCCCCTATATTTTTCCTTTTTCTTTTGCCGACATAAACATTTCTACCCGAATCTTCTGACCTCCTCATATCACACTCTTACCTCTCCTCAGTACTTATCCCTTCTTCTTCTTCAGATACTCACCGCTTCCGCTTAGTCTCATCTTTTTCTCTTTTCTCTCTACATGCTCTTCTTATTCTCTTGCCATCTTCTTCTGTCATTTCTAGAATACAAATCCTCTCTCTTCTTCTTCCATCTCTTCTACCGTAACCCAATCCCCAGACCAGAACTTATAGACCAACCCAAACATAGCGGGAATACCATCCACGCAGACTCCTGAGCGCACTTCCTCTTTCAGCTTTTCCCAGTACCCAAACCTTTCCTCCATATGGTAGATTGAGCATATGCGTCGATGATGGATAAAATGTTGTTGAAATCACTTTCGGTTAGTTCGGGCCCCATCTCTAGGTACAAGCAGTAAATCATATGAGGAGTGGAGAAGTCATACCCTCTATTATGTACTCTTAGTGCGGCTTCAGCGGCCAACTCCACCCTTGCTTGGCCATTAAACATCAAGTTGATAATGAAATCAGGGAATGTGGCTCTAATGTAACGAATCGGAAGGACAAAGTCCTTGGCCGGAAGCACTTTAACTTCCCTCCTAAACTCTCTCGCTTCCTGCCATTGACTTTCTCGGATCCAAACATTGAGTGCAGCTTCCGCTATCACGATAAGTTGTAGTAGATACCCCTCTTCCCCTCGATTAAGACGACCTTGCCTTAAACAAGCGGACAGGTAAATAGTCACTCTCAATCTGCTGCATTCTTCTATCGTATCCCAACTTTCCTCTATCCACATAAATGCTTCAGCCCCTAACAAGTGGCCCCACCACGTGTCGCAAAGTTCAGCCCTGCCTTTCCCTTTAGGCAGTGTCATTTCTAAACCATCATTGTTCCTAATGGGTGCCTCGACCCTGGACACCTACTTTGCATAAGGCATCTTGATCAAATCCCGAAGACCTGTCACAAGGGCAAGCCAAAGGACAACTTATTCAATGTACTGCTCCAGTCACTAATTTTTGGGTACCCTTACTATGGAATGGCCTGACCTAAAAATAGGTACTTTTTTTTCGTAGCTTTCCTGGCATACCCCCTTTATTCTTTAGCTTCTCTTGATCTGACCTCAGTAAAGATCATGAGGATCCAAATTACCTTTCTCAATTCTACTCAGATGGATTTCCTAACGGCTTTCTTTTAGTCAGCGATGAGAGAACCTACCCTTACTCCCCTCCTCTAGATGACCCTTTTATATATCAGGTACGAGATTAGTCCGCACATCTCTATTTGGCATAGGAAGAACAATGTTAGGGTGATACATAATCGGTGGTTCGTCGGTGTACTCTGAGATGTCACGGGAGGGTCAGGTACGTATGGCGGTGGAGGTGGAAGGGTAGGCTGGGGAGGTTGGGGAATTACGGCCAATTGCTGAGGGCGGCGTGCCATGGAAGACGATGGCGTAGGATATGGGCGTGATGAAAGTAGTTCAAATCGCGGCGGCGGAGCGTCATAATGTTGTTCATACTTATAAGAGTAATATGCCATTTTTTCGCGGGATGGCGTGCGCTCGCGAAAATCCTCTAGACGCCGGCGCAAACGCACTCCTTCCCATTTTTCCTCTTCCTCCTCTTCTTCTTCAGGCTCTGCCCTTTCCCTCGTTAAGTCAATCGGCCTTTCTGCCGCCTTTCCTTGTCATCCGCCTCTTCCTCTTCCAGCTCCAGTTCCGCGAGGCATGGTGGAAAGCTTTACTTCAAGGAGTATCCTAAGTACCTAATTGAGGTAATGCCTAAAATTCAAAATACGTATAGTTACTAAGGAATATCAAAACTTAGATTTTCTACTTGATGTATGAATGATAGTAAGGAGTGTCACAATCATAAGGGATTTTTATAGAGATGAAACTTTTCAAAAGGTCTTGCAGCTTCTTATTAGGTCATTTGTTACGGACGATCTAATAAGCTCTCCTCCTAGTAGACAAAATGAACTAGTATTTTCCAAGGGGATGTACAAACTTAAACTTGCCAAGACGCTGTACAAGGTATTTCAACTTGTGCGTATCGTATTCCCAAGGCACCCCTTCCGATACTAGGCTCGTACCAATTTTCTATAGGCTTATTCCCTCTACCTAGTGAAGACTCATATACTATCCTACCCTTCTACTTGTCGTTTTGCTAGGGCTTAATTAACCAGGCCCAGGTCCGTTCTCATAGGACCTTGGCAGGCAACCGAAGGTCCCCGGCAACGGCGCCACCTATCGCGCGCGGCGGTCCCGCACCCTGCTGGGAGAGCTGAACCTCACGGTCATGTCACGCAGTATTTATTTTCGAAGAATCAACTTGTCACCACTCCAACCGTGCGCGCGGCCTATACCTCTCACGACGTCCCGCGACAGGTCGGAACGTCGCGAGGTACAACTTACCTCTACCCAAGGGGTTGTCACCACCCTTAGGTAGGCGTATCCCTCCTGAGCTATCGGCCCACGTATGAAGGCTTTTACATGCCTGAGTATAGGTAGGTCGGCCGAGGGCATTTGCTCGATCGCTGTAGCATAATATGGGGTACGCGCGGTAAGACACCTAGGACTGACCCGTTTGATATTCAGGTCGAACTTTGAGATGGTCGTCTACTTCCGCTTTTGTTCCCAAAACACCTTCTCCTTCTGACCTCTATGATCAACGTATCAAAAACAGAACCTTGTCACTACCAAAGATAATCTATTCCACTCAACGTATGATTGATCATCAGATAATATATAAGACTCGATTATGAATATCGAGGTATTATCGCTGGGAACCCTTCCCACTTTCACAAGTGCTGAGCGTCCAAAACTCTTCAACAGATCAGGTCCAGTTCAAATCCAAACTCACGAAGAAAACAGACTTGCACAACATAATGCAAAGACAGTTCACATGCCATGCACTAACGGCGTCAACCATCAACCATTGACATTGTCCCTTACTCCCCAAACCATGCATGACAACTCTATCTTTCCTGAGATGCAAGTCCAGCCCCCTCACATTTATTCAAAGGACCCTTGAGAGTGACCAGGACCATTTAGGCGATGACCACAGGTGACAGTTTTACTGACCACAAGGTTTGACTTTAGATGTAGGTGTCAAGTCAAAGGAGGAAGAGTTCAATCGGCAACGACCGACCTGTTATCGAGTGATAACAGAAAATTGAGTCCTCTTTGTTGGACTTCTCCTTCAATTGCAGTAGATCAAAACATGGACCTGCACACACACAGGTCAACAAAGATTCAACACCCCAACTTGATTTCCCACATATAGATATCTAAAGGTCAAGCCCTTAGATCCTGTCTGTGAGCTTTGGGATCAACATCCCAAAGTCTAACCCCTAGCTTCTATCCACCCTAAGTCACCTGTCTCTCCTTCTCCTTTTATTTCAAGGAGTTCCTTGCCTATGTCCTAAGTTATCTTTTAGGGAATCTCACATTTCCCCTCCTTTCAGTCCTTGCCTTTTCTCTCATGCGGAAAAGCACACTCTTTGGTGCTTATGCGGTAGTCTCGCTGAGATCAACTCAAGCTAGTTGGCGGTTTTCTCCCTTAGGAGTTTATCAATGAACTGAAGCTACTCGGATCTTCTTTTTTCTCTTAATTCCTTTTTCCCGCGGTGTTTGCCTTTTCTTACATTCCTTTTAAGGAACCTTTGGAGTCACTCCCGATGGAGCACTCCTTTTCCTTTCTCTTCTTCTTGTCCTGACATAAGCAAGTAGTGGGCTGATTCACCCGGGAATCTTCCATAACTTTATCAATTCCAGGCAAAACGGTTAGTCAAAGGTGTAGTCGAGTAGCCTCACGGGGATACTCAGTCACCCTTCAAAGTAAATGTAGTCCTCATACAACCAAGCAGTTCATGCATTCTAGTGCAAGCGATTGGATAACTCACCCGGGAGCATCCTTTTATTAGTTAAGCAGGTAGTTAGGAGGCCTGTGTTGAATCGTTTCAACACTTGGACCAATACTCAGAGAACATTCTAGATACAGGTGTCAATACAGAATTAAAGCTAGTAATAGGCAACCTTCACGGAAGCCTCCTATTACTCCTTGATCAAAGCTCAGTCTTTGCCTGCAGGCCCTCGTTTTTCAGCTTTCAGGCTGAAACGACCGGGGCCTGTAAGCCCTAAGTTTTAGGCTTTTAGGCTGAATGTCCGGGACGGGCCCTGCAGGGCCCGTGTGGCTACGCAGTATGCCACACCCCCCCCTCCTTGAAGAACCGAGCTTACCCGCGAGGTCGAAGCTGTCTGTCTGAGGGAGGGACCACAGTCCGAGTGGGAAGAGCTGGTCGTGAAGCTTCCTGAGCTAACCTCCGCTTTTCATAATGCACGTAGATCAGCGGTGCGGATGATTTCAAATCTGCGCCTGAAATCCACCGAGTGTCGTCGCGATCGCATGCTTTGAATGTGACTTTGTACTGTCGCGGCTTGCTGCCGTACTTGCGATCGGAGATGACGCGGTCAACTTCCTGATGACCATCCATAGAAAGAGGGTCCTGCGATCGTCGGTCCGGAAAGTCGTCGCTCTTGGCTGGCGTGTATGTTGCCAGCTTTGAGGCGTGGAAGACCGGATAGACCGTCAGATGCTCTGGAATGTTGATCACAAATGAAGGGCCATCGGGCTCATCGCCCGCGGCTGCTGTCACAAACCAAGGTCCAAACCACTTGGGAAGCAGTTTGCATGAAACATCCTGTTCCAGTGCAAACTCTTCCGCGGAGACCCAAACCATATCTTCCCAGGAGACCACCTTGTACAGGTCTGAAACCTGGACGCCGTGGATGGTTGCCATGTGGCTGAGCCAGATCTGACAACCTTCCTTGGTGTATATGAACAGAGCATTGATGAACAGATGGTCAGGGACTTCGTGAATCCCCAACTCCGTTGTAAATCCTTGCCACCAGACGACCGGGTCTTGATGTGTGTAGTCATCAAATTTCTCGATCCGGAACGTCGGCATCTTGTATGGCCTCGCCGAGCTGTTGTTGTGGCTGCGGTCAGTCTGCTGTTGCTGACTGATCTTAGTGTCCAGCAACTCGAACCGCTGGCTGATGGTGGACGGCTCTGTGAAGGCACTTATGTCTCCTAGCATTGCCACTACGTGGTCAACGCATTCCTCCAGTTGGCGGCTAGAGGATGCACTGCTGGAAGCTCCAGCTTCTGGTCCTGGTACAGCCTGTTCCAAGTCCAGTACACGCGCGTCCAGTGCCGGTGTGGCATCCTTGTGCTGCTCTTCCGGTATTGCCTCGTCGCCGTTCGGTTCAAAATGCCAGTACTTGAGTCTCTCGATGCTGTTGGTTTCATAACGCAGCAGCAGATCCTGGGCTTCCTTGCGGCAAGCCTGGGCATCTGCGTCTGCTTCGGCCTGTAGCCGCAGCTTCTCTGCTGCTGCCGCTTCGTCAGCCTGTAGCTGGGCAGCCTTGACTGCCAAGTGGCATTGTTCCTCAGTCGCGATGAGTGCGAGCTGATTTTCGAACCGCTGTCGGTATTCGACAATGGTTTCATTTGCCAGTTGGCCTGGCATGCCCAGAAGTGAGCCCGTCATTTTGCTGACGTGGCACTGCTGACGTGGCATTGCTTACGTGGCACTGTGTCTGACGTGGCACTGTGTCTGATGTGGCACTGCTGACGTGGCACTGCTTACGTGGCACTGTGTCTGACGTGGCACTGCTTACGTGGCACTGTGTCTGACGTGACATTGCTGACGTGGCACTGCTTATGTGGCACTATG